TTACACTTGGCTCTCCTGAATTCCCGTTACAGCTGTAGCTTACTACAGCATTCCTTGTTCTAAAAACATTGAAACAGTTCATTCCTGATCTGGCATAATTTTCTCCTCCTCTAAAAATGCAACCCATAGCATCCAAGATGCTTGTTAACATTTCCTATTCTAAAAATCAATCAGCCTAAAATAACTTCCACTTTCCCCATGTGGACTGCCTTCTCAATCACTGCATTCTCTTCCTTGATCATCTTATTTGAGGCAATAAGTGGGTTGTTTTAGAAGTACCAGTTATTACAGTAACTTGTAAAACAAACACCTTGACAGAGAAGTCTCCTGTTAGTAAGCAACCCTGAGCCAACTTCAGGGGATACAAGCTGAGAACAGACAATCCAGCAATTAACTTATGTGATGCAGTGCTATTTAACTTAATCAGAAACAGGAAAATTGAGTGAGAGGCAGAGACACAGCCCAAGAGTAAATGAAATTAAGGTGATACAGAACAGCTGTAATCCTCCATAGCAATTCCGCCCTGGAAAGCAGACCCACATCCCTCTGTGTAGTCCTACGCGTGATAATGATCTCGTGCAAAATTTCCGTTACCAACTCTTGCCTGAGTACAACATTATGCTAATACTCACGTGGACTGTAGTAGAGACTCCTACTCTATTATCATCATTTATATCATTCACTAAAAGTGCCTTGACACTTAAAGACAAAGAGCCTGTTCATTTTTGTGTTTGCCTTTGTTTTGTTTAATGAGTGGGCTTTGCCTATTTGCCTTCAAATCAGCCAATCACATATGCTGTAATTGGCACTCACAAGCACAGGCATTTTCCACAAGGCAGGTCACTGCTTCACTTGCTATTTGTCCTTGAGGATAAGACCCATGAGCCAGCAGGTCTGCTCCTACACACTGTGCCTTAGCCTGAAAGCCTCAGATGACCACAAGGCACTATGCGCCTTGTATGTATGTAAGCGTATGGTGTGTGTGCTGTAATAGGGAACAAGCCCTTCTGCAACTGTTACTCTGTTATTCACGAGTTCTCCTAGCAAAAAGACTCAAGAACTCCTAAAACAACATACTCTGTTCTTCTGAAGCTCCAAAGTTTTGCTGCTGTGTCCAGACAGTCCTTCTTTTTCTTCCTCTGGAAGGCAGCAACATCTGTTTACTGAAGCTGAATAGCGTGCCAACATGTAACGTTTCACATGCTGAACCATCCACCAAACCCTGGAAAGGGCAGATGCAGAATGTGCCAATGCCCCAGCAGCAGAAGAGTCTCTAGCTCTCCCTTCTTGATCTCAACTCTGTCAGAGCCCTCTCTACCACCTTTCTTTAAAATAAGGTAGGTCAAATGCATTGAAATATTACTCTGACACCACCTGGTGTGACTTTGTACAAATAAAGAAGTGAGGGAACAGAACCAGGAAAGAACAAAGCGCTGGATGTTCTTCATGAAAAGACAAGTGATAGGAGCTGCAGCGATGCTAGCAGGCAGCCCTCCACTGGGGTCTGCCCCCTCTCCCAGAGGGAGGAACGGCACAGAACACTCAGGTTGGGGACAGCAGTAAAGCAGCAGAGGTTACACTGTGTAACCCCCACAAAATAAAGTGAATGGAAAGGAGAAGGCTGGCAAAGGAAAGCTACAAATACAGGTGACTACATTTCACTTGGCTGCCATTTCTGGATCGGCGATGGAAAGAGACTTGATGTTTTCTATTTGCAAGGAAGAGACAAAAATATAGCTGCTCTCTGGAAGGCCATTCCTGGTCCCGCAGACCTGCTTTGTTTATGCTGCTGCCCTTCTGAAGCATGGCGTGCTCTGTTTGGAAGCAGTACTGCTCAGCCAAAACATCCCTGTGCCTGTGACAGTAACCAGCTTAGGCTTTCTGCAGCAGGACAGCAATGCGTGTGGCATTTCAGTCTAACAGAACAAAGCTGACAACACATTTTAAAAGTGCATAGCAAATCTCAATGCCGAGCAGAGGAAGCTAAGCCACGGAATATTGCAGGAACACAATCACAGCCCTGCAGGATCTCTGAGAGGCTGTCCTGAATTTTCCTGCATAAAAGTGATTACCGACATTCTAACTAGCTCCGATTATGGGCACAGATGAAAGCTGACAACAGGGACCTCCCATTACAGCGTGTAGAGCTGGACTGACACATGGCTCTGGGAAGGAATATTTTTGCCTGTTTGAGCCCTTTCCTCTCAAGTATCTCAGTTAAAAATTCCTTCCATTGAGTAATTTCTATCCAGATCCCGGCTGTGCTGGCTGTGTTCCCATGTAAAAGAAAACCTGCAGGCAGAAAGCAGTGCCATCTGCCAAGTCAGAATCTTCTTTAATGGACAAGCGTGGTGTGAAGGGGAACAGACTATCATACTCCATCTCCAGCAGCAGGAGCTATGTGTTTCTCTCCCCTGGAGCAGGTTCCAGCGAGCTCCCCCTTACCTGAACTATTTCTCCACAAATACAGATACCAATGGACACTGCACAAACAACCTTCAGGGAAGGTATAAAAAAAAAATCACCCAGTATGTTTTTTTCCTCCTGGTCAACTTGCAGCCCAGTCTGTCCATTCTCTCCACCTGTGAGATCAGGCTGCAGCTACCTTCACTTCCCATTCCTGCAGCTGGATGTCAGTGCACCCATTGGCACAAGCAGTGGCAAGGCTGGAGCATCATGGCCCTGCAGCCCTACACACAACCACACAAGTTGCCACTGAAAAACCATTTTTCCAAGTTTTCTTTTTAATTTAATAAGTGTTCTGACCAGATGATGTGCTGTGAAGTCCCACCTGGTGATGGGGAATGCTACAGCCCTGTTGAGGTTTCACAAGAAACAATGGGCAAACTTCTCCGAAAGCCTTCATCCAGGACTACGAAAAAAATTTTATGTCCTTTCCAATTAACCAAGCGCTTTCCAATTAACCAAGGAAGGTTTTATCCCTCCTTATTGGGTAATCTTCTCATTAGACCATCTTTGGAGAGAATGGCAGGTTCTCTCTGGATTGCTGGCAGTATTACTTAAAGGCATATTTAACTTTTTTTTCCAGCACTTAAGCTCACAACAATGAGAAATACGTACATGCATGCAGTGAAGTATTATCTGCCATTTAAACTCCCTAGAGAACTCCCAAAGATCTTAATATTTCTGCTCATTTTGGAAGGAAAGCACACACATTGCACAGCTGGGAGCACGATGCGCATGTAACCATTTCAATGCAATATTAAACATCACTGACAAAGCCCCTGCTTGGCAATGGAGGTGCGTGCTGTGGCTTTCTGTATCTCTTAAAAGTTATGAAAACAAAATAACAACAGCCAACTCAATCTAAACGGAAGCCAGGATCAGAGGACCTGGTACAGATTCCTCCTCTCCCCTTCCCCAGTTCTGAACACCAAATTAAAGCACTGTACAGAATGGGAACGCGTTTCCTCTCTGATTCCAGAGTTGTGGAATTGGCTGTGGAACACCCCTGTTTCCACTGGACTGTACTCCCAAATGGCAATTTCTATCTTAAAATAGTTCCATAAAACCTTTGAATGGTGTATACCAAATAGAAAATCCACTGAACTCTTCTAAAAGAGCAAAACAACTGCATTAACAGAAGGCATGCTATCCCTCATCACAGCATCCCGACATGGAAATCACATTGAAAGCACCTCAGTTTCACTCACTTGGTGCAGAATATTTAGGCAGAAGAACCTGAATAAGGAATCGCACCTCAGAGCCACAAACCCTGGGCAGGTGCAAAGCCCGAGCACTGCCCACTCTGTTTGCCACATCTTCTAGTTCCCTCCATGATAAACTCCTGTGAGTCAGCTATGTGCAGAGAACACAGAAACAGCAATAAAGAGAAATGAGAGCACTGGAAACATGGCCATTAATCAGCACGTTATGACAAGTTTTTCTAGTTCATCTGTTCAAATTATTATTATTTTTTTTAATAGACAAAGCTACCAGGTATTTCCAAATCTCTGCCACCAGACCGCAAGGACTGTGCTGCACAGCAGCTCTCAGCTGACTAAGGGAAGGCCACACACAGCCCTTGGCTTCCAGCTGCCATCCTGCTGCCACCAGATGCAGATCGAGGCTTAAGAAATAGAAATGCACCCCAAGAACACCTTCACTGATCAGGTAAACTCCAACAAGAACTCAGTAACACTCCCACGTCATTCTCACAGCGTTTGCTTCAGCTGTTTTCAGTCCTGCTGTAAAGCACCAACCTGGTTTGCATTTGGGCCAGTTACTTTTTGTTGAGTTTTTTTTTTTTTTACCACATGGCCTAAAATAATCAAGGAAACCTCAAGGTTACAAGCTAAAAGGCAAGTGAGTTTAATGTTCCTGAGTTAACGGTCTGTGTACTTAACTCATGTTTATCACTACAAACACTCATTTCCAGTTCACAGCTACTCACCAGTGCTGGCATTGCCTGTGCTCGCCCAGGTGGTGCCCTTCAGGAAACAGATTGCAAAAATAAAGAGGAGAATAACAGAGGAAAGTGGAAGCACCCCTTCCAACACCAAGAGGGATCCCTCCAAAGTCATGCACCTGTGACAGCGAGCAGGGCCCTGCAAAAGGGTCTTCAGAGGGAAGACAGCCTAAAGACCAATGAGCACCTAAACCCTTCCCAGCTCCGGCCTATTGAATTGCAGAGACCCAAAGCAGCTTCCTTCCCCAGTGTTGCATAACACATCCATTCAGAATCCAGCACGCTCCCTCACAGCACACACCCAGACGTTCTCTCCCCTGCTTTGTCTCTTAAATACAAACACAAGGCTTTTGCCACTGGTAACGTTCTCCTCAACACACTCACGTGAAATATTCTGGGAAAGACTGACGGGCGGGCTGCTATCCCATAAGTAATGCGAGCACCTCCAGGCTGGGATCCCTCGCCACGCAGCTCTCCTTGTGAAACGTCAACGGCAAAACAGGAGTGTAACAGGGCGTTAAGTGAACCGCAGCCTCCAAAGCCCCAAGGTAAAAGGGAATAGCCCACATACCTTCAGAGCACACTTCTGCCCCGTCTCCTTGTGGAAGCACTCCAGTACTTTGCCGTTGATTCCTAACCCCAGCACCCGCTTGGACAGCTTGTAGTCATCCGTGACGGCGTGTTTCTTTATCTCTAGCTTGGCGTGGGCCGCTCCCCCGGGCACGGGCTTCACGCCGCTCCTGCTCTCCACGTGGCTCTCGGGCTGGGATTCCCGCTCTCCTCCATCGCCTTCCATAGCAGGCGGCAGCCCGCGGCCACCGCGACGCCCACCGGGCGACCCGCGCGCTCCGTCCCGCGGCGTGCTCAGCCCGCTCACGCAGCGCTCGCCATCGAGTCCTGGACACAAACGGGGGTCAGCGCCCACCGCCGTGAGCGAGCCGCCCGCCGCCAGCAGCGGCGGAGAGGCGCTCGTGGAGCGCTCGGCCCCCGCCCCGCAGCTCTCAGCCCGCACCCAGAACTTTCTGCCCCGCCGCAGCACGCGCCCGTGCCAAAGCTCGGACCAAAGTCCTCGGCGGAGCCCCGCGCTCAGCGCAGACGGCCCCGCGCCCACAACGTTTGTTTCGCGCCGATGACCCCCGGCGGCCTCCCCGCATCCAGCGCCGTGCCGGCAGCCCCCACCTGCGGCCCTCGGCGGGGCGGGAGGAAGGGAGACGGGAGGGGCGCCGCGCCCCGGACCGGCGCTCGTCCCGCCCCGCGAGGTGACACGGCCCGGGGCTTCGGGCCCCGCCGGAGGACGTTACCTGCCCGTGGCGGCGCGGCCCCGGCCGACGCTTCCCGGCGCGGAGTCCCGGAGGGCGGGCGCTGCCTGGGTCCGCCCCGGGCAGGTGCGCACCGCCCCCCCGCGCCGACGGGAGGCCCCGGCCCGAGGGGAGCACCGCGGGCGGGCGTCGGCTCGGCCCTGAGGGGTCCGGGAGTCGGGGTGGGGGCCGTGTTTTGTGGAGGTGACCTGAGGCCCTCGCGGGTCGGGGGGCAGCGGGCGGCGGCGGTGCCCGGGGATGCCCCAGAGCGTTCCGCGGCTCGCGGAAGGCAGCGGCAGCTGATGGAAGACGAAGAAGGTGGGAAAAACAAACAAACGCACGCAAACAAACCAAAAACGAGGGGGAAGGAGAACGGAAATAAGAGAAAGAAGCGGCGGGGAGGCGCGGCTGCCGAGACGGCCGCAGGTGGTGCCGCAGCGCGCCCGTGCGGCGGTGCCCGGAGGAGCGGCCGCGTCAGCGCACGGCGCGGGGCTCGGCCCGGCCCGCAGCGCCGCGTCCTTCGTGCGCGGAGAGCCGTACAGGGCCGGCCGATAAGGGCCCCTGCTAACTTTAGTCACCTGAAACTCTGACAAAGCCTTTCCAGCCCCGGCCCATGGGCCTCGCTCTAAGAATGGCCACAGCTGAGGTAGCGTGAGCAAATACATTCCCTTCCTTCTTGTGGTCATTTTATAGCTGGGATACATTGTCTGGGCACAAGATGTACCACTGTGCCAGGGAGAAGCATAGCACCCCAGAATCATTATGATTTGCAAAGACCTCTGAGATCACTAAGTCCCACCATCCCTCCCCCTGCACCCCGACCTGCCCACATCCCTCAGTGCCACATCCCCACGGTTTTGGAACACCTCCACGGACGCTGACTCCCCCAGCTCCCCAGGCAGCTGTGCCAGTGCCCGACCGCTCTTTTGCGGAAGCTCTTCCTCATAACCAATGGGGACCTCCCCTGGCACAACTCGAGGCTGCTCCTTCTCGTCCCACCGCTGTTACCTGGGAGAAGAGGCCAATCCCCACCTCACTCCAACCTCCATTCAGGGAGATGTCTGAGGTCTCTCCTAAGCCTTCTCTGGACAGAAGGATCCCAGTTCCTCCTGCTGTGCCTCTCAGGACTGATGGTACCAGGGACAGCTTCCAATCAGAAGGAAACTGTTATTTTATTTATGGATGTTTGCTTTTTGAAGTTAAAAACAACCACAGTATTGTTCCACACTGAGTCTGCTGTGGCACTAAGTTTTATCACCCTCACAAAAATCTCAAAAACTGCACATTGACTATTAATCCTGTTTTTACTAAAAGCACCCAACACACTGTTACAATCAGAAAGATTAATGCGATAGAAGAACAATACAGGAGTATAACAACAAAGGGACTAGTGTGGATAGAAGGGGGTTTCAAAGGAGAAGTAAAGATGCTCACCCACCTCCAAAGATCCTGGCTCACAGAAAAGACCACCAAGGAGAAATCTCCAATCACAGATCCTCCCCAAGTGGCACTCAGCCCTTCAATGAGATCAAAAAAAGGTACAAGCAGCCTCCACTTCTTCCTATTATACCACTGAATTGCCTTCACCTGTGCTCCCCGGGCTGACCAGATCCTTTCCCAAGTGCTCAATCAGTGGTCCAGGCCCTGACTCAACAGTTACCACACGCACAGACAAAACAAACAAACAAACCCACCTTATTTTGAAAGGGAATTAAATAGCTCAGCTTGTCTGCATTGCCCCACAGTAGGAGCAGAGATTATCAGGGAAAATCCCAAACCAGGGGTTGTTTGGGATTTTCCCCGATCTTGAGGTCTCAATCTTGCACTGAGCAGTGGGGCAGCAGCTACCTCAGCGTTCCAGCCAGCATGTAGCTGGAGCTGCTGCTCCTGGTATCAGAGCTACCTGCTCTGCACAGAGAGAGCTTTATGGCTCAAATACGTTACTTTGGGTGATTAAGGTTAATTTTGGCCATCTCATCAGGTATTTTATGCTGCCTTTTTCCTACACTGCAGCAATTCAGTGTCAGCGATATCAGGTGTCAAAGCCAGTTCAGGCTGTGAAATATCTCATTTTTCAACAAAAATGAAGTGAAATGAAACATCTCAGTTTGCTGTCACGTGGAGAGCTGGGAAATCTGGGGTCACCAAATTCTTAAGGATGGCGTGCTTTGGGAGAAGGATACCTACCTGAATGCTGCAGTTATCTGAGTTAATCTCAGACAAAAGGGATTGGGCTGGAGTTGGTCCTCACACAGCAATGTCTCAAGGAAATCAGCATCAACTTGTTTGGGAACTGCTGAGTCACAGCCTGAACCTCTGATTGATCACCTGAGGCAAGCAATGACTCAGCCAGGGGAGCACAGGTGAAAGCAATTCACCTGTGCTGCAGGAAGGGGTGGAGCCTGGCTCCACCTCTCCTAGACCCATTTAAGAGCTGACTACCAGTGGGGAAGGATCTCTCTTCTGGAGATCCACTCTGCTGGAGTTTCCTGAGTGAGCCCAGGATATGGGTAAGCATCCTATCTCTTCTCTTTGTCTTGCTTTGCCTAACTCTCTTGTTTATTTTTTTATTATTGCATCTTAATATTTTTTGATGATGACTCGGTGAGCTAGGCAAGCCAAATATATTAAAAATTACATCATGTGATTATTCTGGAATTTCTATAAATGGGTCAAGGGGGGGAATGCATCTTCCTCTCTTCCTCCCCCTCCCCCCCAAATAAAATGATTCCAGGGCTGATCCCAGGATTTGTGGGATCTCCATATTATGAGTTAGCAGTCATCATTGAAAAATGAGGTCCCCTATGCGTTGTGGGAAACATCTCCCTGTATCATGTGGCAGATTACTTTTAGGGACTTGGCAAAGATATATTGATCACAAAAGAAAGGCGATTAGCTGCCTCCACAGTGGTATGGCCACTATTAAATGGTTTAAGTCATGCTGAAATGAGAAATAATACTTTAGTGAATAAAACTTTTGAAAGATTGTATTGAAAAGTTAAGACAAGAACTTGGCATATTAACAGCAAAAAAAACAATTCTGCATCTTCCATTAGATCAAGTTCGTAACATCTCAATAAACAATGACCAGGCTCCTGAATCAACTGACTGTTGATTAGGAAAATAAAAAATCTAAATCAGACCTCGGATCTCTGATTTTAACAGATCCACTAGAAGTCTGTCCTGTTATAACTCAAAAAAAAAAACCAAAAAAAACCAAAAAAGTACAGAACAGACTGGCAGGGGTGCCACCTGATCAGTGGCCCCCTGCCCAGACTCACTTGCATGTAACAGCCCAGCTGTACACGGCAACAGAACTGATGGATTTAGTACAGTGATTTTGGCAGAAACCTAGAGAAAGTGTGCCAGCTTGGTTATTAAGACTGTGGGGTTCTGGGGCAGAAAGTGTTCTGGTGCATGGCCTGGAAATAGTCATGGTGGCCACCATGACTGTCCATCTTGCTCTCAGGCAGAGGTTATATGCGGATAATCAATATCTTCATGAAAACTGTTCTATAATAGAATGGTTAATGGCGGCCCAATAAATCTGATGTTCCTTTACATACAGGGATGTGGTCCTCCATGGAGGACCTTCAAAATTATATCTGTGAACTAGGTGTAAGGGAAGCAACTTTTGAAGACACATTTGATGGCCCTGATATGGTCAAATTCTCAGCAGGGATGAGAGACCTAATTCTACAACAAGCTCCCTCCTATCTGTACAGTACTTTGGTCTCTATATTAAATCCCCTAGTGGCCTCAGAAGCAGTAGTACAGCAGGCTGCACAGTTAGTGGCCAACCTAGGAGAAACAACGCCTGCGGAATAGGCACAATGTTTGGACATTAGAAGAAGCTGAGGTCCTGCTGGTGACTAAAACCAAGATGGTGGCTACTCGAGCTCCTCAATCGGGACCCATAAGGGTCTCCCGAAAACAAATGTTTAATGATTTAATTTGGGCTGGGGTCCAATTTGCTAAGATTGACCGCCAGCCCAACCATATCCTTCTCCAGCTTTGGAGACAAGTAAAGGACAACCAAAAATTTCAGACCTACCCTAAAAAACCAAGGGTAAGGGTTATAGAGAGAATGCCAACAATGACATGGAACTTAGAAGATTTCATTGTTCCTAATAGGAAAAAAAAAAAAGCTGCCTCAAGTGTCTCAGGCTACAATGCCTGAGCCACCAGAAGCAAAAGAATTGGCCAT